TTTTTTTTTTTTTTTTTTTTTTGCGGCGTCGGCCTTTTCCCCCGCGTCCTCCGTGTTGCTTTCCGGCGGTCTCATTTTCTTTGTGATCGTTTTTTTTTTCTTTTTCGCAGCATCGTCTTTTTCCCCCGTGTCCTCCGTGTCGCTTTCTGGCCTTTTTTTTTTTTTTTCGTTCCTCCCGCGTACACACACGTTGGTCCTTGGTCTTCTTCTTCTAGTCAAGTTATGTTTCATTTTTTCTTCCTCTGCCTATGGTTATGGTTGCTCTGTTGGTCCTTGCTTGAGTCAAGTTGCCATTGCATGTGACTGCTATACTAGACTTTCACAGACGAGGTAACCGACGTAGGAGTCGTACTACTGTTGAGTGGCCTCAAAGCACGATGGCGATGAACGGCAACAACTTACGTGTTGACAATCGAGAATGCTATAACTATGGACAGGCTGGGCATATCTCCCGTTATTGTCCTCTTCCTGATAGGCGCCTCCATCCTCCTACTAGCTCTGCTTTAGTTCCGGCACAGCCATTGGTGACTATGCCGGCTGACAATTCTGCCGTTGGCATGGTGGCTCCTGTAGGTGAGTCGTACTCTGGTCAGTATGTTAATCAGTATTCAGACAAAGGATGGTTACGTAAGAGGGTGGCGACCCTCGAGGATATTGTCGGTAAAATCAAGGAAAAACATGATGCGGATGAAGCTAAGGAACGTGCGGCGAAAGAAGAAGAGGAGTGGAAGAAGAAAGAGAAGGATGAAGAAGAACGTCAGTTACGTGAGAAACAGGATAGGGAGGAATGACAGTTGAAGGTGCGTGAAGACTTGAATAGCCGGTGGGAGATGGTTTGTGAGAAAATTGATCAGAAGGATCAGGCGAAGAATGAGGTTGCTCTGTTGCGTGAAGAGGTTGCTCGGTTAACTAAACAGAAGGATGCAGCCGCACCTCTGTTGCTAAACCTATAGCCGATGATGATGTGGTTCTTTGGTTGAAGCGGGAACAAGGTGAACTGAGAGCGGCGACAGATCGTCGGTTCGCTCTGACTAAAGTCAAGGAAGATGCAGAGACTAATGCTGAACTATGGAAGGCAGAAGCTCTCCGCCCTGGTAACAAAAGAGGGAGCATCGCGGTTGCATCCACTCCCATTTCACATGCTAGAGTACGGCAGCGCAATACGCCATCAGGACGTCCAACTGAGCCGCGCATCAATCAGCAACTCAAGGAGATCGTGGAACGACATAATATGGAAGTTAATCTGTTGAAAGAGATGCGGCTCAAGGATGTCAATGATAGGATCGATGTTGAGAAGGAAGTTGAAAGACTTAAGGATGCTATGGCTAAGTTAGTAATGGAGAGGGAACGTGAGACGAATTTGAAGAGTCGTTTGGATGAAGTTGCGGGACCCTCTGCTTGTAAAGCGGTCTGCCCTTCGGTGAAGAAGAAGGGTGTTGATACCCCCGAGGAATAGGTCAATGAACGAGAAGCCTTCGTGCGAGATATGCGAAAACAGATGAAGAAATTGAACAAGGAACAGGTGATGGAGATTTGCAATAAGGAAGGTGTTACATATATAAAGTTGGAGCAAACAAAGGAGAAGATCATTTGTCAGAAGGTTGCGCGTGCTTTTGGTGAAGAGATGGGAAGGGTGTGGCCACCTCCATTGTCAAAGTTACCGAGGAAGAGAGAGAGGATTTACGACGTGATGACGGGCAGGACACGGCTACTTCTTAGTGTCATGCCCGAACGTGACGCAGCTACGGAACTTTGTTTGTCTCCTTTGTAGACTTAGGTCCTTTTTCCTTTAGTTATTGTGAAACAAGGCTGTGAATTTGTTGTTGAGTTTTGCGTTGAGCTTGTTGATTGTGTTGGGACAGATCCCGTAAGGGGTGAAACTCATTCCGTTTATTTTGGACTTTTTTGACGATTGAAGGGTGTGATGAGAAGAGATGGAAGGACCCTATTGTTTACATTTTTTTTTCTCCTTGGTGCAAACATTTGTATGTCGGAGTACAGGGAGAGATATGCATGTCAGGTGGGGGGAGCATGTCTATCGGTCAACACGGACGAAGGTTGCTGAAGATGGACGTAGGAATGAACGTCTTTATGCATGGATTCGTAGAAGGGGTTGCTCAAATTATGTGGCTATTCCCGTGTGTGCTTGTCCTAATAGTGATCGACTGGAGGTGGAGAAGTTGAACTTCTTGATTTGTTTGCTATGTCTGACTTTAAATTCTCAGGATAAAAAATGACGTACAAGGAGGAAGCGGCCTAGCTGTCGCGAGAGGAGAAGGCGTAAGGATTGTAGATTAGGCGTCGTTACGGCGACGACAAGGAACCATCGTGGTTTGGTATGTTTCCATTCTAGCGCAGTAGACGTTTCGCGAAGTCTGTTGGGGATCCTTGAGAAGTGTGCGGATCGTCGGGAGCGTTGTGTACGTATCGTTTGCACGGGGGTTGACCTGCTGATTGACAATTGGAAGATCGTTAAGCGGCGATTCGCGGGAAGTTTGGTTTCTAGTGCTTTTGGTCGTGTCGAGCTTAGGCATGCTTGGGGATGGCTTCGTGGCGGTATGTGCCTTGAGTTCGAGAAAGTGATTCCTTTTTTGTGTAAATCGATCGTTTTTAAAGAACCGCTTGCGGACTTTTTGAGTAATCCGCCTAGTCGACGTATTATGTTTTCCTGGAGTTTTGAGCAGTTGATTTTTGCCTACACTGCGATTCGAACGTTCAACGAGAAACGGACCCGGTCAAGATTGAGGGGGTTGCTGTCTACATGCATTAGGAATTTAGGACGAGATTTCAAATTTGTGTTCGGCAGAGGTTGGTTATTCGCGTCACCTATGATGATCGTGTGTGTAAGGCACAGGTACGTTTGTTCTGTTTTAGGATTTTGTCAACGTTGGATATCAATCCTGCTTGGAAGCTCATGTTGACTAGGAGAATGGAAGTTGTATGGTGTCGGAACAAGACCGTTGGTGATCTAGTTCACAAATTTCGGAAATTTGCGAGGAGTCGGGATTTTCCATGTGTATGTGAGCAGGTTGATCCTCAGTTTCCACGTATTAATGGACATGTGGCCTTACGATTGAACGATTGCGAGACATTTCCCACCTGGATGAGGAATTCGAGGAACATTGCACGCCCTTCTCGATGTTATTCTGTACGTAGTTTGCGTCAACAGATTTTGTCTTCTTTTTCCTCTCACTCATTCTTACCTCCGGTTACTAAGGCGATGATCTCTCCTTCGACTGTTGCTGATTGCTCTTCGTCTGTGTCTTCCTCTGGTCCGACTAACTTGATTAGCTATGGAGGATCCTTGTCTGTTGATGATGTTGCTCCTTTCGTTGAGTTGCTGGGTGAGTTGGTGTGTTCTCCGATTGATCATCACAGTGGTGATACTTTTGCACGTTGCCCGGTTGTGTATGGGCACGAGATGAGTAAGCTTTTCTTTGGGAATCCGACTTTTGCTATTTGTTGCGATGACAGAGGGATTCTACGTGGTTGTAAGGAGGAGTATGATAGTCGGGGGCTTTGGAGTGTTGGGTCGTGGAACAAGTCTGGCGGGTTAGGCAAGGCATATTGCATGCCGAAGCATAAGGATGTTGAACGGTGGAGGCCGATATGCCCCTCGTATCCGGAATGTACTGCGGCAGGAGGTAAACTGATCTCCAAGGGGATTAATGTTATGTTGTGGAGCTTGCCTGAAGCAACCAATCTGAATTTGAGGTATGCCGATGACCTGTTGGATGCGATTAAGAAGGTCAACAAGGGTTTGACCGATGATGGGTTTTTCATAGGAGCCTCCTTTGATATTAAAGAAATGTTTTCCAATTTACCTCACTTGTCTATCCTGCGAGCACTCGATTGCGTGATTGACTACTTGAGATTGGAGGGTATCGATGCTGTCGCGGTCAAGAAACGGGGTAAGGGTGCTAAGTTGGTCAAAGGCAGGGTCGAACAAGAGTGGAAGAGGCTGAGTTTTTACGATGTCTTCTCCTTCGTTAAATACGAGTTGGATTTTACTTATGTTGTCGCTGCTTGGAGGATTTTGAGACAAACCGTGGGGATTCCAATGGGGAAATCTACCAGCCCCGTTTTGGCCTGTTTGCTTTGTGCATACAATGAGTTTTTGTATCTCTCGTCGTTGGGGAATGATCGTGTATTGTTTTCGGGTTTCAGATTGGTTGACGACGTGTTGATTTTTATTCGCTGCCAGAAGAGTGATTCAGGATCTCGAATCAAAGCTCTGGATATGATTAAGGATTTCAAACGGCGTTACGATGAGAATTTGACTTTGGAACGAACGAGTTTTTGGACTGGATGAGATTACTTGGGGTGTGAATTGAGAATCTTGGATGATAGTGCTGGAGTTATTTGCTTACCCGTTTTGAAGAATCAGAAGGTTGGGCTGACCGGCAGGATGGTTTTCCAGTGCATCCAAGATTATGTGTCCTTTTCTAGTCGTCAACAGAAGATGGCGGTCATTGGGTCATTTTTACATCGGACTAAAGCTTACACCTCTGTTCAGGGCACAGATTTACCCTTTCTTCTTGCGTTGAAGCACGAGTTGTGGGTAAGGAACTATCCCGATCAGTTTTTTGATAACGCTTTGCTTTACTTGTCGAAGAAGTTTGGTGGACTGTGGGGCGAGTGGTTGCCGTTCTTGACAAAATGGCGGGGTGAGAAGCGGAGTTTCAGTTCTTTGGATGCCTCGTCCTAGAGTTTTTTTTACTATTGTGTTGTGTTGTGCTCGTTACCATGGTGATGATGATAGGATTGTGTGAATCTCGTTTTTAGGGGTTTCGGTTTTCGTACGAATATTGCGTGAGGTAAGTTTGGGGTAAGTGATGAGGATTTGTTGTGAACTTTGAGCTGCGTGGGATCTCAATGGGATTTGAACCCGGGTCGTGAGGATAGGTAGTGGCTTCGGTACGAATAGTGCGCGGGGTAAGTGCAGGGTAAGTGATGATGTTTTGTTGTGAACTTTGATCCGCGTTTGCTTGGTGGGATTTCGATGGGATTTGAACCCGGATGGTGAGGATAGGTAGTGGCCTTGGCTGTGATTTCCTGTTCGGTTGTGATAACGGCTGTTGCTACTGAGCCTGTTTTGCATGTGATAGGCTATCGATTGTCTGACAAGGCTTGGTACAAAAGCATGGACCGGGATTTGGAGGTTTTTGAATTCGAACCCTTGTTTTTAGATGGATTCGCGTTTTGAGCCGCGTAGTTACCAGTTTTTTTCAGACTAGACCGCGACTTCTTGTTTCGGAAAGTGCCTAGGTTAGCTTAGATCAGGATATAAGCATTTGGATGGAAGTCCTCCGTGACTTCGCAAGACCCCTGATGAGTCGTGGTTCGGCGGCCACGCGAAACCGGTCGGGTCCTACGCCTGCGACTTTGTCGCACCGTGCTTCACGCCTTTTGATGAATCAGTTGCGTTCGGGTTTTTTCCATGCTTATCCTGTGTCCTTGGTCTTCTTCTTCTAGTCAAGTTCTGTTTCTTTCTTTCTTCCTCTGCCTATGGTTATGGTTGCTCTGTTGGTCCTTGCTTGAGTCAAGTTGCCATTGCATGTGAATGCTATACTACACTTTCACTCTTGGAACCAGAGGATAGGCATTAGAAGGCGGCGGTCCACATTAGGGTGCCTGGCCCACCGATTGTCGATTATGTACCTCAGCTGTTGCTTTGGTCTGAGCATTCTGTATATGGATTTGATCGACAGGTGCAGGAGGCAGATCTGTCAAACGGGGGGGAAGCTGGGGTTGTTCGTCGCTCCGGGGTCTTCCATATCATTCTCCTGGGTCGAGGGCCAGCTCATGAATGGCTTCTCCCGGCTGGTAGGCCACATTTTCTCCCCCCTCTTCGAGGACCCTTATTTGGTATAGGCCTCCCATGTGAAGGGCTCCCTGCTGCCTTGGAGGACACCCGACCTAGTGATAGTGTAGTGCTCGACTAGGGCTTTTTGTGGATCTGTCCATTGGACCCTGCCCACCCTTTCTGTGTCCCCCCTGCCTGCCGCCCCCTCTCCGTCCCTCAAGGTGGGCCTTGTCTAATAATTTATGGTGTCGAGGTGATGCTCGATGTGGTGGCAGTACCGGAGGGTGTCCCGCAGCTGAAATGGTGGAAAACTCAGTCCCCTCTCCCCCCTGATTTGGAGGGCGAGGCGGATTTGTCGACCAGTGACTCAATTTTACTGGGCACTGTGCTATTCAATTTGGATCTTCCGAGCTGTGGAACATATGTGGACGAATCAACCACAGCGGCGATACTGTGGAACCTTTGGAGGAAAAAAAAGGAAAGGGAAAAAAAAAAAAAGAAGAAGAAGAAGCGAAACGACAAAGTAAGAGGCGGTATGCAAAGCTCTATTCATATGTTGAGCGCCAGATCTGCAGAACTTTCACTGACATGCAAATAATCTGTTCGGACTCGCCGGAAAAAAGAAAGGGGAAAAGAAACACACTTCATGAAGAAGAAATAGCACATTATGTGA